TCTCTTAGTAAGCATTGGAGTATTTATTTACCACGTGAGATCCTTCTCCCCTTGACCCATTTGTTTAGAGTTCAGACTCAAACGGAACATCGGCTATTTTCTCCTCCAAACGTACATGCCGTGCTCGTTGATAACGATTCTCAGGTGAGTCAAAAATTTTGTCAACTTGGAAGGCGATTTTGACACACGTTGAATGGCAAAGATAAGCGCTCCTTAACTTTGGTTTGAAAAATAGGAAACTTTAATTAATCCACCTGGGGGCCCTTGGTGATTTTGATAGATAACCGCATTAAATGGTTTTAATTCTTGCTGAGCTTGAAAATGTGATTTAATCTTAATTCAAGAGTCATTCAAGAACAAATTTCTAAAAAATAATCGAACAATTGCATCACATTTCTTATCAAATAAGCTTCAAATTATCTAATAATTATGGTCATGATTTGTGATTTCTGATTTTAGCTGGATCTCTTTCTGGATCAATTACGAAGCAACAGCCGCTCGAGTTTCTCTCGGAATCACGACAGTTTTGAAAAGGAAAGGGCATCAACTCTGTAATTTTGTTGTCTGCAATTTTTCTGTAACGAAGCATTTCCGCATTCTGCTGAGCCAATTTCGCTGCGTGGGGCTGAGCAGGTGGCGATGCCTTTTTGAGGGTGGAATGTGGTCCTATGCGTTTTTTCTTAGACACAAAGCGTTTCTGATCATAGAGTTAGACAATGACGACTATTTCGACAAACGTGAGAGCTTCGTTGCCTAAGATCCCGGATATCAAGGCCTTAGGTAAGCTTTTACTTTTTTTATTACGATGATTCTTATTGATGGCCCTTGATACCTTTTTAGATGTCTACATGCTGGGACGGGTCGGCTCGTTGAACGTATGTATGTTTTTTTGAAAGTGTTTGAAAAGAGCGAGTCACTCAATCACTCGCGATATGGACGAGCCGACGTAAGATCTGTTTCGTTTTCGTCTTTATGGCGCTGCTAGAATATGCGCTCGTTAAGGGGATCAACGTCATTATAGAACGTCGCGCCAAAACAACTGTAATGCGTCTCAAAGAGACTGTGACGCCTTCTTTTGTCAGTTTGATATTGAAAGTTCAACTTAAAAAATGAGACCTTAGTTTATCAAAAAAATTGTGAGCAAAATTTCGTAACCTCCGATGAGGGGTATCAACCCGAAATTTCGTCATCATTGATTTCGGAAAACCACAACGTGGCCTTGATAAGTCTAGCCAAGTGATAAGAAGGGGTCTCTTATCCCTTCGCTTCTCTTTCCGCCAAATATTTACTCGGCATGAAACCTGGACCCGTGCTAATTAGAATGGCAGAGATGTCGAGATAGCCACTAATTGCCCGTAAATACCAATAACAGGCCCAGTTCTAGCGCAGATAACTATTCAATCACTTTTGCAAGGTGTCAAAAATTCACACGCGGCTGACGTTTGGCACCCGTTCGACACGTTTCCGATTTTACCGTAAAAAGGCATCGTTGATCCCCATTTTCGTTAACTACACCTTTTTTGGAAAGAAGGCTCGAGTGGCGAAAAAGAAATTAAAAGAGTCCCTAAGGTGAGTACCGTTTTCATTTTGATATCCAGCTGCGGGCTGAGCAAACCCTTCACTTTTACTGGAGCTTGTCTAGATTGTCTGACAGCTAGGATACATACAGTTCTTTCCGTTTACAAATTGACATGACCCAGATGAGAAAAAAGACTATTAGTGTTTGGGAAAATTCTCTCCAAAAATGTAGAATTTCTTCATCTTTTTTGCAACTCAATGAGAAAGAAATGATAGTTTCTAATTTTAGATTATTTCGTCACTCATTTTTAGACAACGAGAAATCGAAAAGGCTCAAGAAAGAGCTCAGCGGAATGCCCAAAGGATGGGCATACCTTACAGCACGACGGAATTCGAAGGTAAGACTGTATCACCTTTAGAAAGCGTAAACTGATTCGCCTGGAATAGAGGTAAATTTAATCCTACTCATTCGTCTCTCCTGTATATTTCTTGAACGGCTAAGCTCCTGTGGAGGTTATTTTCATTTAATTTCAATAGTCCAAATCAGCACTTTCCCGCTCATCCCTTTTTGATCCGTCTCGCACTGTCTCTCCACGTTTCTCCGTCTCCCAGTCGCCCAAACAACTAAATTTAAGAAAAAAAAGACAAAAAATGAGCCAGTAATTGGATACTTTGACTTCCGCTCAAGAAAAAAAAAGAACTTCAAATGAGGTTTTCCGTGAATTTTGGTCATGCATTCAGAAATGAACATTTCAAAGAAATTTTTACAGTAAATTTGGAAAATTGAATTACCGGAAATTTCAGCGAGACTTGATGGATATTTATCTAAAGATCCAAGACGGGAAAATTTAAGGGCCCGCTGAATAAACAAAGCCCCAGCTAAATGATAAAATTTTGTTTTCACGGAAAAACATCGTGACAGGCCGGTGACGTGTTGAACTTTTTGACTTTTGAAAGATGACTAAGAAGGTTACAGTAAATGTTCCGCAATTGCATAATTGGGCGATGACGTTTTGATTTTTAGAAAAACTCGATGGCGGCCGAAATATGCTCCTAAGTGGGGATATCAACAAACCATAAATTAAGACACTCTTAGCATCCCTAGTTTACCCTTGCTTTGTTCTGATGTTATCATCTAAAAGTCGCTTAATTCTGTATATACTACTAAATACCGCTACTAAATACCGCGCTCCTGTAATCCCTAAGTGGCAGAACGGGTAGGTTATCTTGGTCATCGGAAGAAAAGCAAACAGCTTCATTTACCTGTTGCATCAGAAATTTCATAAACTCTCAGAGCAACATGACTTCGCCGTTAATTAACTAGGCGTAAAACTCCCTTTCTTTTTCTCGCGTTACGATATTAACCGTAGTATTATCTCAAAATTCGGCCACCTATAGCCGAATTATTCGTCAATATTTTCAATAATTCTTAATGAAAAATTCGGCCAAATTGACCGAATTATTGGGCGGATTCTACAAAGTATTTTGGTGAAAAATTCGGCCAGTGAAATTCTCCGTGGACAGTCATTTTTCTTTTTTGAGGGCTTTCGCAATCGCTATGAATGCTTGTTATCAATTCTGATAATTTGATTTTTTAGGACATTAACCGGACTTATCATTACCACAAGAATTCCGGTCGACCTCTTTCTAATAGCAACTGGTCTGCGGCGCAGACTCTGCGCAGTAAGAGCTAGTTGCAGCTCCCGAGGACTTTTTTTTGATAAGAAAATTAAGATCGTAGTATTCGCTAAAATAAAGGTTAGGGTTAGGGGGCACCTGCAAAAATGACGGAACAAATTACCCGAGGGGGATAGGGTAACCCTAACTAACCCTAGACTAGACCCCGGCATCTTAGGACCGAAGGGGCGGAGCCCCGAGGTAAGGAACCATTAGATTGGATACTTTTTTACTGATAAAATGGAGACTCTTAATAAACGAGTGGCTTTATAGGGGCGCTGCCTTTACTCTTGGGGGCCGAATTATTCATTCAAAATATGAGTATATGAAAATTCGGCATTTGGCCGAATTTTGAGATCATACTACCATATTAACGCCGATCCTGCGGCTCATTAGCGATCAATTAGTCAAAGCTCCTAATTTGAAAGACTCACTTCTCAAATCCAATTGCAGATAGAGGCTAGAAAGTTCGAATTGGAGCGCTAGAAAATGATTCTAAACGGAGATGGTATAGGATTTGAAAGCCCAAATAATTAGGTGACGCGGTCTGTTACACGAAGAGGGGAAATAGGCGCGATCCAATTTTTGGTCGGGGATTATGAGAGGAGTGGACCTATGAAATTGGCTTACTTGGGTCGTACTGACTCAACTTGTGACAGTTTCTTTCTTTCAGTTTCATCAATTAGGCAAATAAGGAAGATATTAAATTTTGGGCAGGATACCCTTAAGTTAAACCTCCTCAAACTCCGTAGAATTACACGAATATGAACTTTTTCTTAATGAACTTTCCTCGTGAGTAGGTAGACTTTCGCAAAAGATGTTCCCCACGTAGGAGTGTAAAAGTGTGAGATAAGAAAAAGATTAAAAAGCTTGATATCCCGAATCGTGGACACCGAACAGCTCAATCAACGCGGCGAGACACGACTTCACGAGTGCCCTTCGCAGCTGCGCGGAATACGTTCAATGTTCAGTTTCCAGTCATCAAGGACGTCTCGATCATTGACAGAGTCTCCAGAGTTGTCTTTCCGTTCACATTCATTATTTTCAACATCATTTACTGGACTTATTACATCTTTTTCTAACTGCATAAAACAAGCTCATCCAAGATCAAGAATTGAACTTCGTTTTTTCCATTTTTTTCTTGAGAAAAAACCGTAGTGAAACCGAAAATATAGCTCAAGTCAAAGTGGCCATTGAGAAAGAAGCTAATAGGATTAGCCACGATTTCTTGCGTGTTCTGTTGTATTTATGCACTCTCAAATATACGGAGATTCTAGCTCTCCCGCAGCTTCGGTAGCAAATGCTATTGCAACTGAACATTGTGGTTTGCAGAGGGATTACTGTTGTTTGATTTTAATCCAAAGATAGCGGTTTCTTAGTGCTTTCGATACACATCAGCAGGATTTCTTCACTAACCGCATTGACTCAATATTATTCAGAATAAAGCATACTAAAATCCAGAGAAACAAACCCACATCATTTTCCCATTACTTTTAACCAGGCAAAGTTATTGAGTAACATTTTGTTCAGCAGATGTGAAATTATTGGTTTTCATTAATGCCTGCCAGTTTGCTGCCTGCGCAATAATGATTACTTTCGCGCGAGTGAAATATAATTGGAGCGACAGATTAGACAGTTGCGCTGAGGGAAGATCTCACTGCCTTCTGAAGCAAGCACGCGCCGAATGAATATTTAAATTTTGATCTCTTTTTTGTTTCTCGGCCTTTTTCTTTGCCTCGACCCTTCATCCCGGGATCCAATCTTCAGTTGCATATTTGAGCATATGCTTTTCCTCACAATAGACTATGGGCGGCAGCGAGAGTACTGACTAAATTCCCGAATAAAGCGAGAAATAATTTTTCAGGTGTTGAACGACCGAGAGAAGGCGACCCATGCTGCGGCGAGGCGCGAGATGGAGACTTTCCTGTTTTAAAAGGTTCACCGAGTATCTATTATTCAGGCAATTTGGCTTGAGCTGATGATGATAATAGAAAACAGACGGGGGATACGGTGTTAATTCTATCATCATCAGGGTGTCTGGTAGACAGGGGGTCTGAAAGTAAGACAGTTGTTATTAACATTTTTATTTGTTTCATTCGAGGACGGGAAAATGATTTTGAATGGTTGACTGGGACTGACGACTAGGTTCGTGAGGACTAGGTTCGTGTGACTAGGTTCGTGGTGGGTTCTGCCAGAGTATTGAAATGGGCTTATATTTTATATAGAAAAATTTTGGGGCAGTAAGGGAAATGGCTTGATGACTAGGTTCGTGTGACTAGGTTCGTGAAATTTTATATAGAAAAATTTTGGGGCAGTAAGGGAAATGGCTTGATGACTAGGTTCGCGTGACTAGGTTCGTGAAATTTAAAATAGAGAAAATGTGGGACTATATTTGCCAAATAAGTATCCCACCCCCACCCTCCCCGTATGAGCCGCTAGGCTTAACACGCAGCATAACATTCTAAAAGTAAATAAAATTAAGTTCTATTTCTTTCTAAACATCAACCGAACCTAGTCTTCACGAACCTAGTCCCACGAACCTAGTCTTCACGAACCTAGTCCCACGAACCTAGTCATCACGAACCTAGTCATCAACCCATTTCCCTTACTGCCCCAAAATGGAGAAGATACAAAAAATACATATAAAAGTCCAAATTTCACGAACCTAGTCACACGAACCATTTTTTCCAACATGGCACCCACGAACCTAGTCACACGAACCTAGTCCTCACGAACCTAGTCATCGGTCTCGGTTGACTCAACCATGTTGAGAGGATGAATTTTTGAGTAGGAAAACAAAAATATTTTGTACTGAAAAGCCTTTCTCTTTTGATGAAATCATTTTCCAGCTGAAAAAATTCATGGAAGTGCTGTTTTTCGATAAGGTGATAATACAGTCGAATCAGCTTCTGTCAGATATTTACTGAAGCACTTCAATATCTCATCAAGCCTTCTTGATGAGCGAATAGGAGAGTGTGGTTTAACACTGATATTGACCAAATCTATATTTTGTGTATGATGTATTACTGGCGCGGTATATGATGTCTTATATCATCGGCCTAATGAATCGATTGATAAGTTTTTTCAGCGTTCCTTCTTTTTTCTTTGTATCTATCTGTGGAACAATATTTTCAAACCGGGCAGAATGAAAAAGGGATCGATAGCGCACGTCAAACAGTAGAAGACAGAGTGTTTTGTCTTAGTCTTACCACTTTGCAACCTTTCTTTTCTTTTTTATAATGCAACTGGGCGCCCGCCGATTTTTTAAAGAGAGACTTGATCACATTTAAGACCCCTGGGGCTCCAAAATCTGGGAGTACTCCTTGTTGATTGCAATGATGACCGCCTCCGCCAAGTTTTTACGAATCATTTTTCCTTTTAGCTACAATTTAAATAAGATCGTTGTCACTTTGATTGAATTTAAAGCGAAAATTTGGAAGCAATTTGAGATCCTTAATTTGAACTTTTAGCTTTTAAATATTTGAGAAGCGTATCCCCAGTAAAATAGAATACCAGATCTATCCTGCATATAATATGGCATGCGTGTTCACGCAGAAGCGTTGTATACGAAGATAGATTAAAATATGCGCGCATCAGACACCCCCACGTTAGGCTGTATCAAGTAATAGAACGAGCTAGTCCATTATTTTTTAAACAGTGCCATCGATTGTTACACCATGGAGCTCGAAAGAGTGTTTCGGCATCAATTAGGGCTAGATCAGAGCTTTTATAAAGGATTATTTTTATTTCGCCAAAAGAAATTTTAAAGAGAAAACGCAGCATTTTTTCACAACAGTGAATTTTGAAAATTGAAATCATGGAAGAGACCAAATCTTTTCGCACAAATTTTAACAAAAATAAGCGGGTTGAAATTGGAATGCATATTTTGATTCAGTCGAATCGATTTTTTGCCATTATGAATATATTGAATATAAAAAAAATGCTTTATAACTTATAAAAAAAAACGTGGGCTGACATTCTGTGACAATTTAGACATGTCGTCGACAGCGCAGATGGAGGAAGAATTGGCCCTCGTTTCGGTGAACGAATCGAATTCAGCCACTTACGATATTCTCCTAAAAATAATGGCTCTTGGGGACACGGGCGTCGGTAAAAGCTGCTTTCTTGTACAGGTACTGTTGCGGGAAAATGAGTTTATCACGGCTTCAATGGTTACTTTTAGTATGTTGAAGGGAGATTTATGATGAAATATGTGACTACAGTTGGTGTCGACTTTTTTCTCCGAAAACTGGTAAGCGATGATGATAAAAGCAAAACAGTTTATTTCATCTTACAGACATACGAACATTCCGACTGGGAGAAAGAAGTACAAGTCCAACTATGGGACACAGCCGGCCAAGAGCGCTACAGAAGTCTAACCCGTGCTTTTTACGAGATGGGATGGGGTTTTTACTCCTCTTTGATCTCACAAACATCGAGAGCTTTAGGCATACTGAATCATGGATAGGTAAGTTGCTCTTGGAAATAAATTAGCTAAAGTGTTTTCAGAGGAAATAAGAGAAAAGACAATTTGCGAAGATCCAGATATTATCCTCGTCGGGAATAAATCCGATATGGAAGATAAACGCCAAGTGCCTCGTTCTGCCGCGATCAGCCTCGCTGAAGCACACAAGTAAGTCGTCTTTTGTACAGTGAAAATGCTGTTTATTAGGATCATAGTTTTGAGCTTGAATTGGGAGTAAGTGTGTGCGAAATCTTCCTCGTTGCAATTTTTAGCTCGATAATTTCTTTTGACGAGCTGAATCGATCGAGCATTTCCAAAATTTTCTCAATTTTCATGGAGATTGCATTATCTAGTCGATGTCTTCGGCGCTCAGATTCATCGATAAATGCTTGTGCTCGATTCTGTTGACTTGTTCGATGCAAATTTTCAATGACATTTCTGTCGAACAAAGTTGACGAAAAAAACTCGTAGTCAAGGAAGTAACACTCCAGCATATTTTCAACGGAGTCTTCGAACAGTTGAAAGAGCTGGTTAAATTGTCTCGCTTTTTGGGTCTGAATTTCTACTGATGGATTCAAAAATGCTCAAAATATTATCATAAACAAATAAGGGAATCCCAAGTCTAATTTATTCAATTCTTCAATTTGCGCTTCAAGAGTTCCAATCAAAGACAAAAGACCTTTTCCAAATTCCGACTGGTTGAAAATATTCAGTTCAAAAGCTTCTGTTTTATTTTCTCTTTCCGACATTTTTATCTTTTGCCAATTTTAATTTTCTTTTGAGTGAGCTCATTTTTATTTGCTTTACGCGCTCACACTTTTAGATTACCATATTTTTCAGTATTCCATACATCGAAACATCCGCTGCGACGGGAGAAAATGTCCAACTTGCTGTAAACTTACTTTTGCACAGAGTGATGCAGAGGCTCAAAAAGTACATGCGCGACATCAGATATAACTACGAAGAAGAGGTAACGAATCAGGACCCCACATTTTTTATGATATTTTAGGAGATCAACCTGAACCAAGAATCGTCCTCATGCTCATTGTGCTCAAAAACAACGACACAGTAATCCTCAATCATCCTTTTTTTTCTTTGCCGTTTGCCATCAGCATTATTATTTTAAATTCGAAGCTCCTGTTCATTGTAAAATTTCACTTCACGACCTCAAATAAAAAACTAAAGAAAGAAAGATGAAGAAGGAGAACAGACCTGATCAACAGTAAAGTCGTCGAATTATTCCCATATACAGTCCTTACGCACAATTCCGGAACTTTTTTTTCCAGCGAAAATGGCAAAATGTCCGGAATTGTACGGATTTTCGAGATAAAATTTTTCTCCTCTCAAAAAATCTGTTTTATGGGGCCATGCTCAAAATGGCCTTTTCTGATGGACATCACTGACTTCTTTGACCATTTGTGATTCTTATAATACAGTTTTTTCCTTTTTTGTGGACCACAATTTTGTGGACATTTTGTTCATTATAAGGGGTTTTTGAGGGTCACTTTTGCAAGGATAATGTTCCACTTTTGTGGACATTTGTCCAGCCGAGAAAATTTAAGAGGAAGAAACAGAGTGTTATTTTTCTTTAATCAGGATGTTTTTGTATATACACGCATAACAGATATGGTGAGAGGAATATTCCCGAGCACGCGCGATAACTTATACTATGGGAGACTCTTAGCAGCCTTAGAGTCAAGATGAGAGAAAGTACCTCTCTGTCAAACCTTAGAAGAATCGCTCAATTTCTACGAAAGGTCGAAAAAATCGAGAAGCTCACTTTGTCTGAAATTGTCTGAAACGAGCGAAAAAGAAACCTGTTTGTGAAATTCGTGCAAAAATAGAACGTTGATTGCTTTGAACTTGAATTGGGATTAAAATTCGATTCATTTTTAAATACAGTAATCAGGAGAGACTTCAAAAAGAACAGGGATCCTACTAAAACCTGTGTTTCCAATAACCTTTTGGTTGACAAGCTCGTCTCCTTCAAAGTCGAGTCGTTGAATTGCATTAGGACTTAAGTCGCCTGCGACGATGAAAATTGAATTTCTGATCATAATTGCAGATCCATAATCGTCAGCCTTAATTGAAATTGGTTTTATAAATATTTCGAAAATTTACGTATTGAAGGTCGCCAATTTTATTCCAGTTGTTGTTTTTGAGAAGCCAGATTCGTTTTTGTTTAATCCATTTATAACTTATCCATCTTCCTCCTCCAGCAAGCAAAAGATTTCCACTTGGTAAGCCCATCAAAACATGATGGCTTATTTCACTAAAAGATTTTTTAAAATGAATTATTTCAAAAAATTACACCGGGAAATCGGCTAAAGACGACCAGCCATGAGAATTCAGAGTCTCCACTTTATTCGCAGCATCGCTAAGAGAACTTCCAACAGTTATTGGTTTCCCTTTATAGAAACCAAGCTTGCCCCCGCTATGCGAAACTTTGGTCCCATGTGTTGAACTCGAAGTTTCCCCATCAAAAATTTCACATTTCTTCCTTCTATGATCATCAAAGCAAATTAACGCCTTTTCGCCATTTTCGATCATCAGTGCTGCGGAAAAATACGAAACTTCGTTTATCAATTTTGCTGACTGTTCTTTCCACTGGCATCCTTCCAGTTTCGCAATCTGAATTTGATTATCTCAAAATCGGAAAAATTCATTACTTTTTGTTTATCCGACCTTCCACCAAAGATGAAGAGTTCGTTTTTGACAAGAGCATAAGGAGTGTCTTCAAGATAGTTGTTTGAAGGAGCTGTGATCGTTGCTGCCTTCACTGTCGATCCATATAATGAAATTGAGAATGAGGCGCTCAAAATCCGCCCCATTACCAAAATTTGCTTAAGGGGGTGGAACTAGGTTTTTCGAAAATAGCCGATTCTTGACTGGCGCTCAGAGCAAGGAGAGCTCATATTTTCAAATTCTCTCTTAGGCTGAAGATAGAACAAACCTAGATCTAACAACATTTTTCTTAAAAATTTTTTTGTCCACAAATTTTGGCGTTAGAGAACGAAATTTCTACCCACCTCTTCGAAAGTCGCAATTTTAGCGTATTCGCGTCCTCCAATTTCTCGAGTCACGTGACTAGCCAAATTTTTAAAATTTCATTTTAAGAAAGTTAAGCCCTTAATCTAGTATTGCTTTTGAGGAAATTACGTAATCATCAGTAAAAACAAATTTTTTTTATTAAAGGGTGCCTCCCGAAAATCACGGTTTTTCAAAAAAACTAGTTCTACCCCCTTAATTAACAGTTTAAATTTTGCCAAATCATTTGATAAAAATTTTTGAAATAACTTATTAAGTTTAACCGTTTTAGGGGAAAACTGAATCGTTGTTGGCATTGTTGGCGTTGTTGATATTGTCTTTCTTGTTGTTGTGGTTGCTATCGCTCGATCCTACGAATCAAAATCATATACCAGTTGAAAACAACTTGTCCGGACTTTTTTCTGATTGTAAGAATTTTTTGAGGGACATTTTTGTGCATGCGATCAATTTTCCGGATTTTTTCCGAAAAGCAAATAATCAGGATGGCTAAAAATCAGTATCCCTCCATAAAATATTTTAACAAGGATGAACGATCGAAGCCCTGATTAAATACAGTCAGAGTCCAAAATAAGGGACATCAAGATAAGGACTTTTTGGCTAAAAATGACGAAAATCAGCGGCAGAAAAAAATCCAATTTAACGCTCGAACGCATATTGCGCAGATTTCTGCGCAGAGCCCCTTTAAAGCTCGATATCTCGTACTTTACTTGATCAAAATTTTAAATGGACCCCCACTTTAGGAGCTCTTTTTCGATGAGGAATCCGATTCTGGCATCGAAAAAAAAATTTGACTTTAGGATAAAAATTTGGCTTCAGAACGAAAATTTCCGGTTTTTTCGAATAATGTTTTGTTAGCATTTTAACAGCTCTGCATCATTTTTTCTGTCGATAAAAAGATATTTTTTCGAAGTTTTATCGCATTTCTGCATCGAATCAAAAATAATTTTTTTCATAAATATCTATTTTGTACAGTTGTATTTTAGATGAATGTAATAGAAAAAAATGGAAAAAACTGATACATTTTCGGGTAACTTAAGAAATCACTATTTTTAGCGAGGTTCGGGTTAGGGTAAGAATTTTAAATTATAATTAGCTTGTTGGCAAGCGTTTGAGCTTCATTTTGGTAGCTTTGGTTGTTTGAAATCTCGACCACAATCGTCGCTAGAGCGCTCTAAAGGTGTTGCGCAGAAATCTGCGCAATATGCGTTCAGCAAGAAAAAGAATTCGTGCGTTCATGCGTTAAGGGACTTTCTGAGATAAATAAGCTTTTTCAGTTTGTCGATTGCTAATAAAAGGTATCAATAACCTTGATTTCAACCAGTTATGCGGCAAACGGAAGTCATTCGCCTTTCAGAATATGTTTTTCTCTTTCAAAAATGTCTTCAAAACCACAAAAACGATAAAGTAAGCTTATTTTATCTGCTAAAAATATACTTCAAAACAATTTGGCAGCAACATATTTTTTGCTTTGATGACCCAATTTAAGGGACTTTTTTCAAAAATTTTGGAGCAAAAAGAGTCCCTTATTTTCGACTCCGACTGTAATTTAATGAAATGAAAACATCTGAAATTGATAATATTCGGTTGCATTCTCAGTATCACTTACGGTATTATTATCGCTGACAATATTTCGGTTATTGGTGAGCTGATTGTCGTTAACATTCAGAAAGAATATCAGTGAGATCACTGAGATTAATAGTAAAGCACCAAATATCGCGCAAATCCAAACAGATTTTCGTCGTCCCGAGCTGGGTCTCGAATGCGTGGCGTTTTTTGGAGCGCGGCATTAGATTCTTCTGTTAAGAAAGGCTGACTTTCGGGAGATGAATTCTAAATTTTTTCTTCATTAACGCGTAAGACTCGATAGTCAATTAAAATAATACTCGAAAATCAATAAAAAGACTTTTTGATTCTGACCGGAGATGGATTCGCTTTATCACAAAGAACCAGCGAAAGAGTGAAGGCTTCGTCAAGAAGATACCATGTCCCGAATTGAATATTGCCATCATTTATATCTCGATGAATGTTTCCGGCTTTAAGATCGCTTACTTTGAAGTAAGGGTTGAATTTGCTGATTCGAACGACTTTATAAGTTTGAAAGACTTGTTTTCTGAGTGTTGTAAGTTTTAACTAAAAACTGTTCCTGGCTCGTCGGAAGAGAACTCACTGTTTTGAAGGATGTATTCATCGTTTTCGACTCGATCCAAGGTCATTTGGTGATAAGCGATTTCTCCGTTTGGGAGAACCCGCGCTCCAGTTACACTTACTGGACGAGTGAAAGTAAAGTTTTCGTCGAGAAAAACTTTATTTCATTTAAACATTATTTGAATAAAACATACTTGGCAGTACCTCTTTCATACTTGCAGATCGAATCGGCGGGTTTCTTGTGATCCGGTCCACCAAGCAGTCGGATTATTTCCCATCCAGTCTCCATTAAATAAGTTCTGTGACAAAGTCTTCGCAAAAGAAGCTCGAAATGATTGGTTTGACTTTCTAGTTCTACTTCTCTTGGGTTCAAATTCAAGCCAGCCATGCTTCTGGGATACACGATCATAGTCAACGTGAAAAGGATCTTTTCAGAAGTGTGCGTCTTGTGTTTATCAACGAAGCCGAGATCGTCTCTCATTGCGTGCCGAAGAAGGGTCGTCACAGAAACGGGGCCGCAGAGTTGACTAGTTTTCTGGTCAAAAATATTCTTGGTGAGATTTTGCATGTTTCGATTGAAAGATTTCGTCGCAATTTGTTTCAAAGCGGACATTTGGCAGGACCGGGTAAGATTCCAATCGTCCAAGCAATAAAAAGAGTCGACATCGTCAACGGAAATGATTTCCGTGATTTCGTCGAAAATTGATGGGTCAACGTTTTTAATTTGTTGGATGGACTCTCCATTGCATCTCTTAAATAAAAGTGTTTTAAAAAACTTAAAAAAAATGGTTTTAAAAAAATACTTCGAACCTTGACAACTTCATCAATTTTTGTTCTTTCTTCAACTGTTATTGGCTTATAAAGAAGCGTCCATGTAGTGTCCCAATCGCAAAAAAGGAAATACCAAAGATTATTAATTTTGTAACCCTCTCCAGTTGTGAGTTGTCGTTGATAAGCGAATCCAGGTGAGCCAGCGGCTAAACATTTAATTTGAATTTAAATTTTTATCGGAGTTTCTTATATAATTCAACTTACAGAGCGCATTGTTAAATCTATATTTTGAGCCTCTTCTTGTGTAGCCCATTTGTCTGTAGCTTTCCCTTCTTGTTTCCTCGTGGACCAAGCCGAAGTCAATGATCTTTGGCACTCCCTTTAGCAAAAGAATGTTCTCCAGCTTGAAATCGTAGTGGGAGATTCCAACTCTGACCAAGTAATTGAATCCTTCTAAAATCTCATTTGCGATCTTCTTTCTTTCTTCGATAGGGAGTTGATCTTCCGTCAGCAGCGACCTTAAATCCTCCTCGGTTCTTTCCATGATCGTTATCCAACCCAGACAATCTTCTTGCTTCGAGCTTTCGTTGCTGAATAATTCTATATTCGCCACATTTTTGATTACGTTTTCGTGGTGGGGGATCTGCCTTTGGTTTTCCGATTCGTCCTTGTTTTTCGCCACAAAGAAATCTTGAAATATGAAAATATAAATAACAAAATTTAAAAACCTTTGGCCAAATGTATTTTCCAAGAAATTGAGCGGAAACAAAAGGAATCCGTAAAAAGAAATGGGTCAAAATGGTGAACCCGCACTGCTGCTTTAAAATCCCCAAATTTTTCTTCTAAAACAATCGCTTCTCCTCCAGTTTTTGCATTTATAAGATCGTTCAGGTCCCAGTTTCCGGTTTCCTCCTTGATTTCCCATCGACTGATCATTTGGTTTCTCAAAGAGGGGTCCTTCTCCAAAATCATTTTCTGAGTTGCGTTGATTTTGAAAGATTCTTTTTCTTTTTTCTTTCTGTCAAAAATGCGCCCTCTATTGCCACTGAACCGACAAAAATGCCAATGATGAGCATTCGAATCGTCCTTAAAATCCATTCTCTCGACCGACAATATCAAGCGGCATTTTTCAGTTCTCGTCGTCGTCCTATTCAATTGCGGCAAAAAAAGCCTCAGCCATGATTCGATTTCGTCTTTTTCGGGCGGTTTCTCTTTCATTCGAAAATTTGCCAACATGAGAAATTCTTCTAACATCTTTTTTCACTGTTATTTTTGGGAATAGTGATATTCGATAGAGAATCTGGATTAGTTGAATAATTTTATGATGAGCCGGGGCTCTAAGATTTTTACAACCTTGTTTGCGGGAGTTGATAAAAACAAACGCCCGAGTCGTTATTTACAAATTCTCGTGAAGCTAAAATCATTCAAATAAATAAGTATGAATCGATGCGAGACAGAGGTGCAAAACGTCATTGTTAGATTTCTAAGCAAGTGTTCTTTGACTTGTTCCTTTAATTTGTTTCCGGTACCTCTGTGTGATGGTGATTCCAGCTGGCCAAAGGTTACAGTATCAAAAAAAGTGATTTTGACATGATATTATCATTCTATTGTGTAAACGAAATTTGTATTTATCGTTTTCAGAAATTTATGAGCAGGAATAAATTAGTTAAGGAGATAGATATCGAGAATCGCCATTTTCTGTCAGACTTTTTTTTAAATTAGCGATGAGAAATCAAAAACAAATCAAATTTAAAGGGAGTTAGTAAATCTCTTTTCAGTATTCTTGAAGGCGAAATCACGGATCGAATCGAGAAACGAGCAGTCCAACTTGCAAACGAAGGCCGAGTGGCCATCTGCCTGGATAACTACGATCATCAAAGCGCGAAGTACTGCGGTATCCTCCTCTGCACGTTCGGCACAGAAGGAACAAAATGCCTTCGATGGTTCATCTCTTTTCGACGAGTGCTCGACTGCTCAGATGAAGGGATGCGCACTCATCTTCGCGAAATCCTTGCAGAATATGGACTTCAAGATCATTACGACAGAAAGGTTATTAAAATCCGGGTTTCAAATTTAATTTTCTTTTCAAGGTGCTGCCAATCATCGGAGACTTTCCGATACAGAATGCATTCAGGACCCATGTCGCTGCCGCATGCTGCGCTCACACGATCGCCAACATCAGCAAGTCCTTTCTGAAGAAATGCTCTGATGAATGGTTCGCAAGAGAGGTTCGGGAGGCTGTCGCCGGCGTTCATGCTGTGATCCGCAGTAAAAGAAGAATCGGCTGCGCCTACTCGTCTCTCAATGAAGAAATCAAACAGATTGAGCCAGCAGGTCCATCAGGAACGCCGCTACGAGTGCTCGAAGGTCTCAATTTCATCCGATTTCGGTAAGAAAATTTGCGAAATTCTATGTTAAATTTCACCGAATCTGAGTAAAATTTCACCCAACTTGAGTAAAATTTCACCGGACCTGAGTAAAATTTCACCTAGCCTTAGTAAAATTTCACCTAACCCGAGTTAAATTTCACCCAATTTAGCTATTTTTAGGAGCGTATTTAATCTTTTTGAAAGATTACTTGACGCACAAGACTTCATCACAAGCGGAAACCGTCTACTCTACACCAACGGCCATACCATCAGCTGGGAAATTGTCGAGTACATGGTCAAGATCGGCGGAATATTCATGGAGAAAATCAACCTAGCTGATTCTGACGAGTTCATGGTCACTGACACTCTCTTCACGATGCAAGAGTTGCTCACAGAGGTGCTCGAGTTCAACCCGCCTGGCCGCTTTCTTGCAGCTCACCGTGAACTTGAGGGGCTTCTTCGTTTTTCACTTTGGATCTTCAATCGGGACGAACTGTGCAGTGGTTCGTATTGCGCAGCGCGAGTGTCGCTTGACCTAATTCCCCTCTAGCGCAAGCCTTATTTTGTACAATGAGCCCGCGTTGTTTTCGAAATTGAACAACGGGCGAAGCGATGTCCGGCGTGAGTGGGGGCGCTAAAACAACGGGCGCGCAACAATTTTTTTGAGCCCCTGCTCTGAACCATACCTTCGGAACAAAGTCTGCTGGAACGCAGAAATAAAAGGACAGGATGCAGACAGCCATATTCCATGCCCGTACAGAAAAGAATGCTGGTATGGTGGAATCACAATCGTCAATGATAGACAATACTGGAAAGCTCTTCCGGAAATTAAAAGTTCCTATCAAAAATAGAAGACTTTTCCCAAAATAGGAATTGTTAAAAATATTTAGTTCAAAAGCTTCCTTTTTATTCTCTCCTTCCGACATTTTAATGTTTTGACAATTTTAACTTTCTTTTTGAGTGAGCTCATTTTTATTTGTTTTACGCGCTCACACTTTTAGATTACCATATTTTTCAGTATTTCATACATCGAAACATCCGCTGCGACTGGAGAAAATGTCCAACTTGCTGTAAACTTGCTTTTGCACAGAGTGATGCAGAGGCTCAAAAAGTTCATGCGCGACATCAGATATAACTACGAAGAAGAGGTAACGAATCAAGACCCCACATTTTTTATATTATATTTTAGGAGATCAACTTGAACCAAGAATCGCCCTCATGCTCAAAAACAACGACACAGTAATCCTCAATCATCCTTTTTTTTTTCTTTGCCGTTTGCCATCAGCATTTTTATTTTTAACTCGAAGCTCCTGTTCATTGTAAAATTTCACTTCACGACCTCGAATAAAAAATATTTTTCAACGCGAAATTTTCGGTTTACTCTTCCTTGTTTTCATTTTCAATAACCGCCAATTCTTTCTGATTGTTGCTACGAAAATCGGGTTCTTTCTTTTCAATAATTGTTGATAAGCTCTAATCAATTTTCGAAATTCAAGAGTCGTGTGAGCTTTAAGTGCATGAATTTCACCATGGTCAAGTGCCACTCGCGCGATTACACGATCATCAAACTAAATGACTGGTTTTGACTGATGAACGTTTTGCTACGTCGATCGTTTTTTTATTTCTTTATTTTGTTATAAAAATGCAGCTTTCAAGTACTGCGTGGATAAATTGAACACAAGTTGTAAATAATTGCGAAGCTTTGCGCGGCGCCGAAAGCTCGAGAAAAGTTGGAGATTTGAGTTTTTATCGTTTTCGTGGGCCGCTTTTAGCTTTTGCATCACGAGCATCGTTGTAGCGAGATCGGTTGCATTTCAAGTGGTAGTTGATTTGAGACAAGTTGACTTCAATGTCGACCTTAGAGCTGACCAACTCGACGAGCCTAGAAAAAGATGAAATCAAGGAAGAATACGCGGAGCGTTTACCAGTCGTGGAGCTCCTTGGCCTTGGCCTGAAGCTTATCGTTGTCCATATGGTCAATGTTGAGTGGTTTTCGTCGATCAGCGAGGATCTTCTTTTTCTTCTCCTTTTCAGCACCTCCTCGTTTGTTTCGCGCTTGCTCCTGTCGCTTCGCCAAGTAGCTAAATACAGTCGTGAATACAAAATTTCTCTTTTGAATCATCTCACCCGCCGTAGTTCATGGACATGGCCGCCAAAGCTTCCTTCTTCTTCTCTTCTTCCTCGAGTTTTCGCTTTGCTTCGATCTCGTCTTTCCTTAACAAATCTGGTAAGAAGTCTTTTTTTGCTTGAATTTTTACTTTTGTCTTTCTTCTCGTTCTCGCTGAGCGCGTTCTTTTTCTCGCTGAGCTCGGTCTTCGTTTTGTTTTTGTCGGACTTCTTTTCGTTTCTCCATTTTTTCGACGAGTTCGGCAAGAACTGCTTCATCTTCTTTTCGCTAAAATAATTTTCAAGTAAATTTCGAGGACATAATAATACCTGGGCGAAATGGTTCTCGATAAGCTTTTTCAACTCAGCAAGATCCTTTTCTGCTCGTTGTTTCAAAAAGTCGTTCATGGTGGTTCTTTATTTTCTCTTTCTGACAAAACAGGTCAACTATAGCGTCTAAGGATGAAGCTTTTTTACTTCCCGAAAAATGAAAAAGTATAGAGCCGGGGGAGGCAGAATTTGCCTGTCAACGCTTGAATAGATTGCTTCTCACTTTTGATAACGATGCTCTGTAGTACTTCAGATCTTTGTTCACTGTACGCCTATGAATCATTTTTTGATAAAAATAATTGGCATAATTTATTGGAGCACGAAGAAAACTTTTCCCAAAAGTTGAGCTGTTCATATCAGCGTTATAAGCTCATTAGATAAAGAGCCGTGCTCAATTTTCGGTAAAACAACAAACAGTAATAATGGCACAGTAAAAAAGAAAAGCTTAGAAAAAAAGACAGCTATTATAATATTTAGCGCTTTGAAGGTTTTTTAGGTTAAGCTTAACTTAAAAGGATTAGCAAAGACAGTTGGTCGCGCGAAGAATGTTATACATAGCAATTACCGCTAATTTGCCTTTTTGCTTTTACTGTACTCAGAGCGGAAAATATCAACTTTGCTTAGTACGTAACTGGAGCAAATCTGGTCGTTATCGAAAAAAATAAGGCAGGCTGTTCGAAAATGTTCTACACGACGATAGCTACGACTTCGACAACTCCTGTGGTCAGCCCGCTGATAAAAAGAAACAAGTCAACAAGTCGAACAGTTCTTCACAGTTACAGTTTCTTCCTTTGAGGCGTGCTCACGCAGGTAGCTTCTGTTCAAGGGTGTTTCGGGAACCCAAAACCCCTCTTTTAGTCTTAGAAGGCCATTTTTATCTCGAGCGGTGGCAGCTGTTTAAGTAGCTTGCCTGAAGAGGCCAAATATGCAGCTAGCCTCTTTTTCTAATCGAATCACGTCTAAACGATAACGATCGCCTTATCAGCGAATCGGTGGAAGAAAGGTCAACCTGCCGCGTTTCCGAAGGAACAGTGAAGAAGAGGATAAACGTATATTGTGCAAATAGCCCTTTATGCAAAACTGGAGCGCCTTAACATAACAAAACTAAAACAAAAACGCTTCCTGCCACTGCCAGGCCTTATAAACCTGAGGGTATATTTCTTAGACGGCGGAAAATGGTCAGTCAGAACGTGGCTTTGGATCAAATTTTTATCCACACGGATGTCACGCATAAGGCTGACCAAAGCTGTATTCACAAAAATAATTCAACCCGCGTCTCCGCCCAGTTCTCAGCGTCTAAAAAACCGTTTCTGTTCATCTTAAAAATTTTCGCATGACGCAATTTTTCCTTTCACTAGATTGATATCTTTTGGCGCTAGAAACATCACGTTTCCCGCCTCTGTGGCTTCGCAAAATGGCGCCGGAGATTTTGGAAGTGACAATAATTGATAACGAAAAGTATCATAATTGAAATAATCTCGTATCAGTGTTTTTGGCGTTGCAAAATTTCAATTGTCAAATCAGTTGAGACTCTCTTCAGCGTGGAAAATTATCGCAGCTTTTTAACGAGCCTAATGGATAAGCAACTCGGTTTTGAAGTGGTATTTGATGTATCAACTCAGAAATAAGGGTCCAAATGCAAAATTAAAAAATTAAAAATAGAAATCGATCACTTATTTTATTCATCAAACAAAGGCTCGAACAATGCGGAAATAGGTGGTACGCCGTAGATCAAATCCGAGCACAATTGTTTTATCATGTCTTCTCGGTCATCTGTCCATGCCATGTCATCTTCTTCCATCTGCTCCTTTAGTATTTTGACCATTTCTCTTGTGCAAGTATGAGTATCAGGAATGAAGTCTTCTTCAAGTGACAATTCTTCAAAGTGATCCTGCGTGTTCTCATTTATTAATGCTGATGTTGAAGATAAACCGAGTAGAAAAATCGAAATTTTCATTTTAGCTTATTTTGTGAACTCTCTCGTTCTTCTCGGCTCATAAAAGATTGAAGAACATCATGTGCTCTTGCCATCTCAAACAAAAACTGTCTTCTGTGAGTAAAGTTGAGACGGTCAGACTGATACTTGTCTTGGTCATGTCAGCGTCTTTTCCTACTTTTGTCTCTTACTTGACCCATTTTATGACTTTTCTGAAAACATATTTTAAAGTTTCAAAAATCGTTGTAGCCTTCTTTTGATGAATAGATTCTTCTACTTCCGCCCGTCCATCAATTGGGACGACGATCGGAAATGCCGAAATCTCGTTCAGAACATTCTTCTGCGTATAAATATCCATTTTCTATTTGATATGAGGTCATTTCTCCGAAGAACAAGGCGGTTCTAACTCTTGCGTAAGTCGGTAAGGGACTGATAAGGGAATTTAGACCAGTGATAAGGACGGCTAGGTGCTCATTTAGTAAATCTTGGATTGAGGAATTTCCGCAAGACGAGCTTTTCCAGAAGTCGAAGACTTCGCTTTTCAGCTCACTTGATTTTAGAAGATCCAAAATCAGTCAAAGAAAAACTCGCCGAAAATGACTGCGTTTCGTTTCTTTTTTATACCGGTTTTTACGCGGAGATGAGAGGGTAAAAAGTGGAAGAGCTTTGTAATAATTCAAAAAATTCTGTAATGGGCGGGGTTAAGAATTAATGAATAAGCACGAGCCTACTTTGAGAACTACTAGTGCTCACAATAAACAATGTGAAACAAATTCAGAGTAAGTTTTTGTTCTAATTTTATACTTTATTCAAGAATCTATTATTTTCTTATTAAGTTTAGTCTATAAGCTAAAGAATGCCCTACATACATACCCATACTATCAAATGATGAATCGACCCAATCATTTTTTAAAAAGTCCATATTCGTTCTAGAGATGAGCATTTTATGGCGTTCACAAAGCATTTCCCCCTATCGCGAAAAATTGCCGTTATCGTTGATTCCCAAATTGCTAGTGTCGCCAGCTGACAATGTCGTGGTTTACAGTAGGGCTCGCCATGAAATTTCGAAGTCCCCAGTGGTTATGTTTTTCTTGTTCCCCATGTTCTAAAACCCAAAACTCCCCGTATAACCATACTCTGAAACTCAGGCAAAAAAATTTTAGAGCGAAATTTCGATAAAAATGGCTCTTTTTGGGGGTCTGATGGCTTAAACGAAAAAATTAACGAAGAAACCCTCCTGAATCTACTAATTTTTGATATAAAGATAAAGCTGAGAGTCTAAGCTTTAATAATCAGTGTTCGTTAGGGTTCGATTTAAGAATTTTTTTATGAAAAAATTGTCTTTTTTGAGAAAAAGTCAAAAATTGACGTATTTTTTTATCAGTCATTCAATATTTTTCAGTAGTTTTCTTCGATTCTCCCCAGATATGAGACAAAACTCTTATGGAACAGAGCATTGCGCCTCTTTTTAGTACCTTTCCGGCACGGGAAAGCATGGGGAACTCGAGATATTAAAGCTTTTCTAGGTTGAAACGAGGCCGAAAAATGGAGAATTTCAGGGATTTTGAGTAAAAATTCTCGGGTGAAATCCTGATTTTACCTCTAAAAGAAACTCAATTAGCTTATTGAAAAGAGCAGAAAAAGTTACGCTAGAAAAATTGAAAAAATATTGAAATTTCCGAAAAATGACGTCATGGCACGGGATTGAAGTCCCGAAAACTGGGATTTTGGCCTAGCTCTAGAATTTTTTCCCCAAGACTTACGACCGACATAAACATATCATTCGAATCAGGAGAGAACGGGGATCATTTTTAGGCAGAATTCGTAGGGGAGAATCGACCTCGACTTTTTTTTGGCGAGCCCTAGTTTACAGCTCATGAAAATCTCAATTTTTAAACCTACTTATTTTACAAATTTCATGCCTCAAGACGTCAAATTTCAGTTTAAAAAACAACGGTTTATGGTTGTTTACTCTACTTTTTTCTTCAATTTCAAATTTGTAATTTTCGGTCGGTAGATGTCTTTTTGGCTTTCTTAAATTGATGGGTTGATGCAATGGTGGTGGAGTTACTGTTTTTGAGTGGAGAAAAGGTGTGCGTTCTTAATATCACTTTTAATTCGGGCGGAGGGCTTAAGGGTAGGGTCCCCGTACAGGCCCAAAGCAGCGAGACTCTCCTCCGAACCTATCAATGCTGGGATGGCGTGTAATGGCTCAAATGAAAGTTCAATCTTAGATCTTCTGATTGACACGAGCTTTTTTCGAAATTCCAAGAGAAAAGTCACGTGCGGTTCGCTCAAAGTTGTCGTTTCAGCGAAAAATCGCGAAAATAGCCAATATTCAGGGCGACTCTCCTCCAAAGTGAGCAATGAAAACCCCTCGATTCTTTTGAAGGTTAAAGTTCGGACCCTAATCTTAAAAATGACACGAGCTTTTTTCAATTGGTCAAAATTTTCTATATTAAAAATTTTAAAGTACGAAGGTACCCATTTTCCGTCCCTTTGACTCCGTGAATTGCCTTGCGGGCATAGCCCAAAAGGCGCGGTTGTCATCGCAAATAGATGTCCTGAACGTGGGCTTTCTAAAAAGGTATCATATGACACCCCAACATAACGACCAAAAATTGTAAAAATTTTACAATTTCCGCCTTTTAGCCAAAATGCACTAATTTTTGCCATTTTCAATTGCAATTTGTGCGAAAATGGGTTATGATAGAGAAAAAACTCATATGGAGTTTTTTGCTCAGAATTTCATGGAGATTCAGAAAAAGTGGTCAAAAACCGATTCTGAGACTTGACCCTGTACGGGGACCCTACCCTTAAAAACGGTGTTTAGTTCTTTGAATGAAATGCGAGAAGCAGACTGGGTGTTTGAGCGAAGAAAACAGTGATAGAAGTGCTTTAGAAGAAGAATGAAAAATAATCGCGCCGACGATATGTTCCGGGAGGCAGCTGAACAGGGTTAGAAATAAATATACAAATGATGCGATTTCAAATAGGGCCCGTTCATATGTTTGAAAAACAATTGATTAACAAGGAAAAAACGTTTTCGATTTTATATCAAGAGGTATCCTTAAGGGTATCAATCCGAAACTGGAATTTGTGAATCTACTCCCTTATAAATTTGAATTGCCCGTAAAAGTGTCAAAACAGATGAAACATGTTTTTGAGTAAATTAATTTTTCAAATTAAAAAATCAATTGAAAGTTGTGAAAATTGTTATATCGGTATACTAAATTGCGGGTGGAGCAGGCAACTTTCTAAGCTGGCTTGGCTTATTTGCTTTTTATTTGCGGTGGCAACAAAAATGAACGGGTCAATTTAATTTCTTTATGAGTTTTTACGTTTCCATCTGGATCTGCGTGGACGGCCTTTTTGGACTTTTGTAATTCAATCGACAATTGTAAGAATTTTTTTCAACTGTAACTTTTATTTTGAATCCGAATTTATTTAAATATTCGTGTTAGAAATACTCTGATCAATTATTCAAAGCCGAAACATGAAGCAAACCAGTTACTGGAACGGAGCATCTGGCGATTATGTCAGCCGGTGGCATTTTTTCAGAGAGTTATCAGCCAACGCTACTTGCCATGGGAGGGGATTACAAAATCGAAAAGGAAACCGATATCGGCCAGGAGGGTGTTTAGGTTTGTCCACTTCGCGCCTTCAGATTTTCCGAAGGTGGCTTTCTTCAAGGGCGATAAGGGGGTGATAAAAAGCGGGGAGTTTTTGGAAATTTACGTAGCGAAAATTGTAAGAAATTGAAGAATAAGTTAGACATCGGAAATTCTGATTAATACATGATTGTGATATTTTTAATAACAATGTCTTTAGGCTACGTATCCACCATTTGAAGATCTGTAACTCTCATGAGCCCTCATTGCTGTTTTCATCAACAAACCTGAATATTATGATCAAAGGAATAAAAGCGACAGTATTTACAGAGTTTGATTTGAATCGAAAGATCTTGCAGAAAGTTTGCTGTAGCTCTGTCGTCTTCGTCTTTTACTTCACTGTCTAAAGTTGCAATTTCATTTCCATCTTTGCTAATCGAAAAGAGTGAGATATCGAAATTTAATAATGAATACCTAAACACTATTCGTGAGTTAATAGAAATATTCACTATTATTTTAAATTTATTTCAAGAAGCTTCTGGTTGCCTCTTAGCTCATATCCGCTTCTTGCGGGAATATTTTGGCCACTTGCCATCAAGGAAAGAAACTAGGGCACGACAATTTCAACCAACTTTTTTCTTTTTTTTTTCACAAGGGCGCTAAATCAAAAACTTAAAAATGCTCAACCGCGAGGAGAATATTTGGGATGTTGAGAAAGTGATTTCGTACGACAGGAAGAGAAAACTCTACCTTGTTCGCTGGGCCGGCTTCCCAAAGGATGAGGATACAGAAGAACCTATCGGTGAGTTGAAGCCAGACAATTGATTCATAAGAAAAACAAACGTGAGCGATTTAAGAGCTAATCATTTATTTTTGCTGTTTTAGAAAATTTGCGCCACTGTAAAGGAACATTGCGGCTAGTAAATCGGCTCCGGCAGCGCCTTGGACTACCAAGAGTCAGAAGAAAAAGGATCAACCAAAGATCGAGTAAAAAGGCGAAAAATCCTTTTATTCATGACTCGACCGAGGAAATAGACTTTTTGCACTCTGATGATGAAGGTTTGCTTTCATTTTTGTGGTTGACAATATTTGGGTTAGCGTTAGGGCTAGGGTTAGTTTATGAGTATTCTTTCAATAGGACCAATTTCTGCTAGTTTGTTAATCTCTCTATTTCAGAAAAAGCTGGCTACAGCCACAATCCTCTCGATATCGAAGACCGAATAAAACAATCTGAAGAAATGGACGTACTCTCCTTGAAATTTCACCGCTCAAAATCCTGCCAAGAAAAGTTTTCTTTTGAAAAAATCATCAAAACCCATTCTGATATCTTTGAAAGCCAAGATTGAATAATAAAATACGTCTGACCTTGACGCCCGATACTTGACTTTTCCTTTGAAGCTAGAATTTATTTTTCGAAAAAATATACGTGTCGTATGCTTCGTTACTTGAGCGCGTATTGTATAAACAAGTTCTAAAGAGAGGGCGATTTTTAGATTCAAAAGTTTATTAGTCAACAGCAGCTTCATTAAAAATCCGAATTTTAACAAAAAGACTGCAGGATAATTAAAGAATTGGACAGTGTTATTCATCGCCAGGAAGGATTCGTTTTTCATTCTTTTTTTCTCGAGTGACGGTCTTTTTACAGGGTGGCGTTTTTTCATTCGATTGATTGCCATACGCTTAAGAGGTTGAAACTAAATTTTAGCTCACCTGATGGCGCTGTACAGAGGAGAATTGTGAAGATGCGCGGCTTATCTGTAGATTAAGGACTCCATTTTTTGTCTGAAAGAAAATTTAGCATCTTTTTTTTTGGGAAGTTTTCTTTAAGGGTCGCCTGAAATTTAAAATTGCATATCGTTAGGTCATAAGTGCGATATTTTACGCGCCCATTTTTTTTCACGAAAAAGGAGATATGGCTCAGTCGAAAATTATCGCCCAGAAAATTATTCTCAAGTGATAGTGAGTGAAAGTCCACCGTGAAAGCTCATCCCGTTTTCTAGCGCATTTGCAATTTCACATTTAGAAATTTACAAATTTAAACTTTGCGTTTCTAAAGTCAGTTTTTCTTTCTTCACATTTGAGGCGCTCGGGAGAGCTTTCAAATCAGGATCAAGGCGATTTTGGAGATTAGCTGGATAGAGGTCACGGGATCGGGCGACTTATTAATTTTGCTTGATCACACGTGCTAACTCCTGCGCTAGAAATTTACCGTAGATTTTTCTCAAGTCAAAATTCACAATTTTATTGTCAATTCAAATGAAGCAGGAAGCCTCGAGAATGTTAAGTGACATGTTCGAGGGACCATTCTTTGTTCATGTAATAATGCGATAAAGGCGCATTATTACCTCGCTTCCCATGGGAAGGTAACTTTCGAGGAACTTACCCTTTAGACAGTGGTTGGAGCTTGGTTAATTTGGCTGGCGTCAACTCCAGGGATTTGCTTGGCGTAGTCTGCTAGGTCCAGTTTCTTGTTGCGTTTACTGTATTTGCTGGTCAGCACAGCTCTATACTTTTTATTCTTTTTTTAATTAATTTTAAGGAAGGTCACGATTCTGCGTGCCTGCCCGTCAAAAATTCACGAGCTCTCCCCTCAGCTCCCACCTAAGACAGAAGAGCCCGAGTCTGTTTGTTGTATATTTTCTTCTAACCAAAGCCAGTTCACATCCTCTCTTCCCACACATAATCTCAAGTGACAGTCGCGTTTTATTCCACAACGGATATCAACCTTGAAATTTGAAGCAATACCAACATCAAAATATTTATCATGGGAAAATGCGTTTTTGATCCTTGTTTTTCAAGGGCTTAAAAAGAACAAGCAATTTTTCATTGACTTTTTTTCTTTTAAAAAGCCGCAAGCCAGGGCTCTAAATCGCGGGGGCGTGCGCCGGGAGCAGCCAAGTCAAACCGCGCGCGCGAACAAAACTCTTGGGCGCCCTCCCCAAAAAATTCGGGAGCAACATTTTTCAGCGCTCACGGCGAGTGCCGGGCGCGCCCGAGCCTCCTGTTCGCGAACCAAGGGCTCGATCGCGCCTAGGTTCTGGCGGAGCGCGGATTGAGCGAGCAGCGCCGATGTACCAGGGCGACTAACGCGAAGTCCTACCTCACTCGGTCGCCATTGATTTTTCAGAAAAGCTTTTTCGAAATTTATTTCTGTTAAACATATCTACATTCTCTCAGCCTTCAACTCCCACTTGCAGATTTTGCTTATCACAATTAATTCTTGAGCTAGAGTGAGAAAGAGAAATTCAACTAAAAAGGCATAAACTCCTGCGAACTTTATTTGTTCTCAACGAAATTTGATTCACCGAAAAGCCGAGAAAATTCTGTACTAAAGTTACCTAATGGGGTTATGATAACAATCACCTGTCGAGTGGAAGGTGAGCTTTTCCAAAGTGGATCGGTTCCACAGCGGGCGTTCGCGCTGCACGAGGCAATATTTTGGCTTGTTTGCGCTTGATTCCCGCAAAGTATTCGCTAATAACTATGGTCCATAGTCTTAGACTACTTAGACTCCATAGAATGAATTACGGATTCTTATTACTACTTAAATGATATTCATAAGACCTCATTAGATAACTTTTGATCAGAATTTTTCGACTTTCCGCCTAGGTTAAAAGCATTAAACTACAATAGATAGAAGAGTGTATATAAATTATGCATGCAAAAGAATTTTTGAAAAAAGCTCATGTCAAAATTCATAATGAAGATAATTCATCATAATTTTGAAAGATATTCTTCAGGGAAAGATTCTTTCATTCAATTTTTTACAAGCTGATCGATAGTAAACCGAGAAAAGAGGCGCAACCTCGGACCCGCCGTCGCTTTCATTTTGAAATTTTGCTCCCCAACTTGCTCGGGAGGGCGCCGCTTGCTCCCGAGATTCTCGTTCGCGCTTGCGTTCAAATTCTGGCGCTCACGGCGCGCGCCCCCGCGATTTGAAGCCCTGCCGCAAGCGGCTTTTCTCCGTCAATAATCTTTTCGAACATTTTTGAGTCTACAAAGAGACACAGTAAGAAAAAAAATGCTTTTTCTTGCAATGAGATCATTGCTTTACCGCAAAATGCGTGTTCCTACGTTTTGGTTGATAATGTTCGGGCAAGCCGTTTTTTTTCTGGACAGACACTGCTTCAGGTTTAGTTTTTATGGTCTCCCTTTTTTTTTCTTGAGACATACGAAAACTATGATTAGCGGCCGCACTGTTCAAGGCGCCTTTTGCGGCGGCCAATTCACGTGCGTATCTGCGGATAACCCGCAGAGAAGAAGTGATAACGGACGTGTCATTAGACCGTCGTATTCTCTTGATTTTAAGAAACGGTTTTGTATTAATCGCCATCTGTGGAAAAGAGAATGTCCCTGGCATATTTGCATTTCCCACCTATTCGTTTATCTCAATCCTTACTTATGCGAACAAGTCAGCTTCGGAATTGGGAAAATATTCCGATCCCTTCCGACACGGGCCAAATGCACACTCGCAAATCTGATAACGCCGTTTCAGCCTTATCGCCACCTTCGAATGTTAAGTTAGCCGCTTTTCTTTTTCGCTCAAAAACGTGCCGCTAGAATTGGTAAACAACTCTCCCCTCGTCAGAGCTTCCTTTTAGAGAGCTCGTCTTATAACGAGCACAATCCGTAGAAAAGGCAGAGTTCAATTATGCTACCATAATAAGCTGAGAGAATAAAAGAGCATCGAAAATATGCGTTTTTCGAATTCTATCCCCCGTTGAATCGACCTCAGCCCGCGAACACGCAATTTCACAATTGTCAATTGAGAAGTTGGTCGCTAGTATTATGGTTTGAGATGATTAGACTGCAGAAAATGTAAATTTTCACGTTGTTTAATTATTTGCACGGGTGGGGGCTCGGACATTCTTCCAGAATTAATGGTTTATTTTTAAAAGAACTAGCACCGAAGATCTTTTAAAGCTTCCTTAGTACTGTACACGAAATCCTTAATCGTAATGGAGAGAATGTGAAAGTTGGTTATCGTTGCAAAATGACATGAAGTATTCCGAGATTGGCCGGAGTACTTGGACCGCGAGCGCGGGCTAAATGGAGAATTCCGCGCCCTAAATCCAGCCACAAGAATGGGACCCCTCTCGCGCTCATCCCCTTGTTTGGAACATAATGCGGAGCGCTACTTGTTTGACAACGGATCAAAATATTCTTCAAATAGAATTCTTCCTCAGACTTTTTAAGCGAGAGAAACACCTCACGAATTCAAACTGATATAAATATTCTTCAATAAGAATTTCTTAGTTATTGAAGAAAAAATGAAGTTATCACTTTGAATTTTGAATTTTGAATATTAAAACTAAAATGTGCTGACCATGCCTGACGCCAAAGATCTCCCGAATCGCCGTCACTTTTTCGCCTTCTTCTCGCTGCGAGTCACGTGTCTGTAGTGTCGGTTTTGACAGTAGTGTCCTTATAAAAGAAATGGAAGGTGCTGCACCGGTCCGGGCGGGCGTTCTTCCGCAAAGTTCTAACTCAATTTACACGGCTCCCGCCTGAGTGACCTTTTTGCGGCCGTCTTCTTTTACAACAAAAATGGAGTTGCGTGAAAAGGTGTTTTAAAAATTACCGCACTTTCGGTATACAAACAACCGCCTCAATGTTGAAATAAGTAGAGTTTCAGCTTCATGGTCCATGAATCATGGAAATTAAAGCAATTATCGGTGAAAAAATTGGATAGTTGCGGAATATCAAATATTTAACGGGGTCGAAATCGACTAGCTGATTTTCAAGGACAATTTTTCTCAGAAAGAACGGAGATCCGCGGCTTCGAGCTTCAAAAGAAAAAAAAAGCCGCGCGATCTGCTGCTTTCATATTTTTTTCCAAAAGCCGCAAGCGGCTCCTTGAAGTGCTTATTGTTGCGATCAGATTGATTCCAAATTATCTAATGCTCGTTGAAACCACCGCGGAGAGAGTTTCTCGTGAGTTTTTCCCGCTTTCTTACCACTTTTTCGCGATAAAGGGTTTCTAGCTTTGCTGAGCAAGGGCGCATACTTGACTCGCAAAAGCACGCGGCCCTCCTGACAAACCATAATCCTTCGACCCAGCTGAGGAAATTAAAGGATTAGTCCAAGGATAATAGGCGCTTGGCGGCCAATCGCGGAAAAATATTTCGCTAAAACGTGGTTACCGAAGAGTGATTAAAGCCTTTGCATAACTCGGCAAGCACGAAATAAATTCGTTTGTTTTGATTAATTGGAAATAGAAACATACATTTAGACTGACTCTTAAAATAGTTTCACTTTTACAGTTTTTTCTCTAAAAATGAAAGATGAAAATCGAGAAGCCGCTTGCGGCTTCGAGTAAAAGAACTTCTAGGTCGCGGCTAAAGTG